CTTGCAATTCGCTGTCTTCAAACTTTTTCGGTGGTCTTCCACGTTCTTCGTTTCTCACGTCAAAATCGCCCCTTTTGAATTTTTTAAACCACTCAAAGCACTGTGATTTACCAAGAGCATGCTCTTAACTAAACTTCGACGTAAACTTCGACAAGCATTCGATGCGATTCTGCAGCAGTTTTCTTCAAATGGTAACAGAAAATCAATGCTATCCGCAAATCGTAGTTTCCAGGCACAAAATTCGACATGTTCAACGCTATTACAAACTATGCTGTTGTATGAAACTTGTATTGTTGTGAGTTGAAAATCTTTGTCAGAGATGTCAACAAGAAAATGGCGCCAATGACGCGGTTTGACAGCTAGGGCCATCTATGGACAAATTCCGGTTTCATATTTACAGACCTGGTATTTTAAAATCATCGTCAAGCAACTATTCTTTTATTGACGATAATCATTAGAAAAAGAAAGTAAACTGAATAATTGGATTAGTGCTGAATCTTGAGAACACGATAATGAGCTTTTGTCAAATTTGTGATGAATGCACCGAGAAAAAAGTGTTTGAAAATTTATTCGTGAAATGTAAAGTTTCACGGAAATTTATATCCTACAAATACATTTTCAAATATTTACTCCTCAATATATATTTTAAGACTATCTATATATTTAGACAACTATTCTTTTAACAATAACCATTAAAAAAAAAGGTAAACTGAATAATCGCATTTTTTAACAGTACAATGATATTCTTCCGTATATATTGAAATTTTATTTCCATTTAATTTCATTCTGTAAACTGAATTTATTTTATCTAGGTTTTATTTGCCATCGCGAAAATCAATGAATACTCATGGATTATCGGTGAAATACTCTTCTCGTTGATTCAGTCGAAACATTTTTACCGATTCACTTCAAGAGAGAAAATGCAAAGCGTACAAACAGGGTGAAAATGACACCTCGTCTTTCGACGAGGAAGCGATAGTCATCGCTTTGGGTGTCGTTCCTCGAGGACGTGGAGAATACCCGCGAGACGCGATATTTTTTACTCCACCCGTGGGATTACCGTGGCAGGCGCGATAACAGCATGTTGGGACGCGGAACTCGATCCGAAATATATTCCCTTGATTTTTCAGTACCTGTCGTAATCCTTCTTGCCGACGGCCTTCAGCACATCGGCGGCAATTTCCAAACACAATTTTGACGCCTGATCCGGCTCGTACGATCTAATCGCCAATAATTTGGTCTCCATCACATCACGAACGATCTTGTCGACCGCGAGCGCGTGAAAGGCTTTAAACGGCAGCAGGCGGAAGGTATTCTGATATTTCGGTATCTGCTCGAATAACGAATAAAAATCGACATTACTGCGGCATTGTCGTCGGCGAATGAAGTTTGATAGAACTGTGCGTCTGATAGATGATCGAAGATATTAACATCCTAGAACTCTAAAGATCAAAAAGTTACGCAAGTAATTTTCTAGAAAATTTCTTATCAAAATTAAGAAAATTAAGCTTCATAATATTAATTTTGTCTAAGTATATTAATTCTGTTTAAATCTACAAACAAAAGTCACAAATAAAAATATCAATTTCACATCCACAACATAAAACGTGGTAATATGGAATATTATTTCTCTCTTATTCTATATTACCACCCATCGCTATTTTCCAAGCAAAGCAACGAAACTCAGAATAGGAAAAGTTTAAAAATATTACACCCTAGAACTCTAAACATCAAAAAGTTACGCAAATTCTAGATTGTACTCATAATATATGTACCAATAAACTTTTTACTAGCTAGATAAATTTTACCTAGCGCGTTCTCATTTGCTCACAACTTCTGGAAAAATAATTCTGCAAATTTAATCTTTTTTTTTTTTTTAATCGGTATAGGAAATATCGAACAATGTAAATCTATTGATGGTTTTTGCGATTCAATGAAGTTGGAAAAAGTTATAATGAAAAAACGAAGCACATGTTTCTAAGAATGGCTCGAAAAGTTGGTCTAAGTAAATTTTACCCATTTAGAATTCTAAGATTAACCCTTTGCATTTCAAATTGCTTTCAAATTTTTCTTTCTAACCGACCCGCGTAACAATCAGTTCAATTAACGATATCGTGCATAAATTTATTTTAAAATTTCAATATCTGAATATAACAGAGATTTATAATTATATATATATATATATATATATATATATATATATATATATATATATATATA